TATCTTACAAGTGTTCGTTTCTAAATAATTTATAACCTATCATAAAATCGTAGAGCACCTTGATAAGGGTTAAGAGGTCGAAGGGTACATGGCAGGATGTACTGATTCTGGAATATTTATAAGAATGATTTATTAATAATGTTCTGAAAGGCGTTTCCTCTTACTCAACTTTAAGGAGTTAAAGGTATTGCAGACAGATAAAAATATAACCTGAAAACTTTGTAGGCAAGTGTACTAAAGGAATCAGGGACATATGTCTATTTATCATGTATGAATGCTACTGATGACGAGTTCTCATCTTCGTACGGTGTGATTGAGAGCGATAGATGAAATACAGTCATTCTGGAATGAAATTCTGACGATACAACAATTATTTTGGTAAAGATCTTTATTGGTTAAGTAGCAGAACATATGTTAAATCCACAAGAACTGTAACAACGAGAGATAAGAACAGGACACCGCACGTTTTGTCTAGAAAGATTTGGTTCGTTACCGTGGTATATAAAGTTCTTTGCTGAGTAAATTCATGTTATATATGAAAATCACATCACAAACATGTGGAGATTGTAATCATAATCTGAAGGGAAAGTCACTAAATACGAACAAAAGATAGATGTACAGGGAGACAGTAAACGTCCTATGCTCCATCGACGACATCCTTTATGTAAATCAATGAAAAAAAATAATATCACGTTTGCAATTGAAAACAAGGTATGAAAGAACGGAAGACGACCAGACCTTGATAGTGGGGGAGGGGGTTGTGTATATTATTCTGTTTTGATAGTGGGAGAGGGGTGGTGTTTATTATTCTGTGTTGAAAGTTGGGAAGGGGGTTGTGTTTATTGTTCTGTGTTGATATTGGGGGAGGGGTGGTGTTTATTATTCTGTGCTGATGGTGGGGGAGGGGTGGTGTTTATTATTCTGTGTTGATAGTGAGGGAGGATGTGTGTTTATTATTCTTTGTTGATAGTGGAGGAGGGGTGGTGTTTATTATTCTGTATTGATAGTGGGGAGGGGATTGTGTTTATTATTCTATGTTGATAGTGGGGGAGGGGGTTGTGTTTATTGTTCTGTGTTGATATTTGGGAAGGGGTGGTGTTTATTATTCTATGTTGATAGTGTGGGAGGGGGTTGTGTATATTATTCTATGTTGATAGTGAGGGAGGGGATTGTGTATATTATTCTATGTTGATAGTGGGGGAGGGGTGGTGTTTATTATTCTGTGTTGATAGTGGAGAAGGGGGTTGTGTTTATTGCTCTGTGTTGATATTGGGGGAGGGGTGGTGTTTATTATTCTGTGTTGATAGTGAGGGAGGATGTGTGTTTAGTATTCTTTGTTGATAGTGGGGGAGGGGTATCGTGTTTATTATTCTGTGTTGATATTGGGGGAGGGGTGGTGTTTATTATTCTGTGTTGATGGTGGGGGAGGGGGTTGTGTATATTATTCTGTGTTGATAGTGAGGGAGGATTTATGTTTATTATTCTTTGTTGATAGTGGGGGAGGGGTATTGTGGTAATCATTCTGTGTTGATGGTGGGGGAGGGGTGGTTTTTATTATTTTGTGTTGATATTGGGGGAGGTGGTAGTGTTTAGTTTTCTGTGACGAATAAGACCGTTACGTTATATATATAGTGAGGATCAATCTACCACTCTGTGACGAGTAAGACTGCTACGTACTGTAGTTATTGAGGGTCAAGTCGGTGTGTGCGCGATTATGCATGAGTGAGCACACCATTATAGGTTTCCTATCTCTGATCTGTTTGTAAATCTTTTCTCAAAAGATGAAACTCGTACTTTGTCATATTTAAGGATCAACTTAACCACTATAGACATACAACCTTACTAACTGACCTTGAGTTAAGAAAATAAAAGTATATCATTTTTCAATACAATCAAAATGATTATGAATAAAGAAAAAATGCAGCTAGCATATAGAAGATATTTGCTAGTGTTTTTAACTTTGATATATCTTTAGAGAAGGAACTAGCTATTCGAAATATTAAAATATTTCGATATTTCATATACTTTTTCAATGAAATATAAGGGAGAATTAAATATGGGTAATCAAGTGTCATAACTGAATACAGTAACGTTCTTACTATTTCAAAATATTCCCTAAAGTATATACATTTGTACCAAAAATAAAATCAGCTTGTTTAATTCTACGTTCACATCATCATCACCACCGAACTTTATTTCCTCCCAAAGGGATTTAATATCTTTAAATATTAACTAGGTGTACACTTATGATAAGAAGCATGCGTGGGCGGGACACTTTATATTTATAACTGTTGTGAGTAAACCCCGAAGCATTGTACCTGACATATATAAACATAAACCCAGCCATCTTTTAAGCGGCGACATCATTTATTTAACATCATAGAGACATATACTTATTTGTTATAAATAAAGCTTCACATTTACCACCCCCCCACCCCCCCCCCCCCAAAAAAAAAAAAAAAAAAAAAAAAAAAAAAATTATGATGAATCATTATTAAGAAATACCATATAACAATCAAGAGTGTGCATTAATCACGGATGTACTGTAGTGTAAAATGCATGCATTGAGATCAGTTAATCATTATGTATTAATTATGATCGGTATTAAAATGACGTAGGAATATCATTCCACAATTGAACGAAATAGTTGTGCGTATAACACGTGATAATTAGGTTTCATGGTAATTGTTACGATTTATTACGTAACTTTAAAAACAGGATTGTATTTTCCAGATTACATCCGATCATGATACATAATACAGTGATACGAATATGATTGCCCAATGCTTCACCATACAAACACTTCTATTCTGGAACTGGAAAAAAATCAAAAATCCGTATTACAACATTTATTTTCTTTGGTATATCAACCAATTAAAAGATTTGCGTTTTTGCATGAAGACTATTTATAAGCTAAAACATATAGACAGAAATAGTTATTAAGGCGTGTCGAGTTACATGGTATAAATACAGCATCATCGTGGTCATATTTGGATGTTTCTTTAATTACTATTATGTTTATCTAAAGTTCTACTTATATGTAGTAAACATCTACATATATGTCATATTTGTGGTGTGGATTCCTATCAAAAGTAAAGTTCTAACTATCTGTAATATTTGTAGTATGAGTTTCTATCTACAGTAAAGTTCTATATGTAATATTTGTGGTATGAGTTTCTATCTACAGCAAAGTTCTACCTATCTATAATATTTGTGGTATGAGTTTCTATCTACAGTAAAGTTCTATCTGAAATATTTGTGGTATGAGTTTCTATCTACAGTAAAGTTATAACTGTAATTTTTGTGGTATGAGTTTCTATCTACAGTAAAGTTCTATCTGTAATATTTGTGGTATGAGTTTCTATCTACAGTAAAGTTCTATCTGTAATATTTGTGGTATGAGTTTCTATCTACAGTAAAGTTCTATCTGTAATATTTGTGGTATGAGTTTCTATCTACAGTAAAGTTCTATCTGTAATATTTGTGGTATGAGTTTCTATCCACAGTAAAGCTCTATCTGTATTATTTGTGGTATGAGTTTCTATCTACAGTAAAGTTCTATCTGTAATATTTGTGGTATGAGTTTCTATCTACAGTAAAGTTCTATCTGTAATATTTGTGGTATGAGTTTCTATCTACAGTAAAGTTATGAGTTTCTTTCTATCCACTGTAATATTTGTGGTATGTAATATTTGTGGTATGAGTTTCTATCTACAGTAAAGTTCTAGCTAAAGTTCTATCTGTAATATTTGTGGTATGAGTTTATCTATTTGTACAGTAAAGTTCTATCTGTAATATTTGTGGTATGAGTTTCTATCTACAGTAAAGTTCTATCTGTAATATTTGTGGTATGGTATCTACAGTAGTTTCTATCTAAAGTTCTATCTGTAATATTTGTGGTATGAGTTTCAGTAAAGTTCTATCTGTAATTCTATTTGTGGTATGAGTTTCTATCTACAGTAAAGTTTGTAATATTTGTGGTATGAGTTTCTATCTACAGTAAAGTTCTATCTGTAATATTTGTGGTATGAGTTTCTAAAGTCTACAGTAAAGTTCTATCAGTAAAGTAATATTTGTGGTATGAGTTTCTATCTACAGTAAAGTTCTAAATATTTGTGGTCTAAAGTCTATCTGTAATATTTGTGGTATGAGTTTCTATCTACAGTAAAGTTCTATCTGTAATATTTGTGGTATGAGTTTCTATCTACAGTAAAGTTCTATCTATCTGTAATATTTGTGGTATGAGTTTCTATCTACAGTAAAGTTCTATCTGTAATATTTGTGGTATGAGTTTCTATCTACAGTAAAGTTCTATCTGTAATATTTGTGGTATGAGTTTCTATCTACAGTAAAGTTCTATCTGTAATATTTGTGGTATGAGTTTCTATCTACAGTAAAGCTCTATCTGTAATATTTGTGGTATGAGTTTCTATCTACAGTAAAGTTCTATCTGTAATATTTGTGGTATGAGTTTCTATCTACAGTAAAGTTCTATCTGTAATATTTGTGGTATGAGTTTCTATCTACAGTAAAGTTCTATCTGTAATATTTGTGGTATGAGTTTCTATCTACAGTAAAGTTATAACTGTAATATTTGTGGTATGAGTTTCTATCTACAGTAAAGCTCTATCTGTAATATTTGTGGTATGAGTTTCTATCTACAGTAAAGCTCTATCTGTAATATTTGTGGTACGAGTTTCTAACTTATGTATCGGTACGTGGTACGTCGTATTAACGTAGGCTTCCATTACGTCTATCAATTCATTATCTTGAGAGATTAAACAACGCTGCGACTAAAGACAGGGGACGAATTCTAGTTTTCCTTATATTTATTCTGTACATACTAATCAAAACTCAAGGCCAATATTAAACAACACTAACACTATCTAGAACTGAAATAGTCAACATAGAGAATGTCCATAATTACAATGATAAGAAAATACACACTGAACAGTAATTCTCTTTATTTATGAAGACATCGATAATTCAGACATATTCGCTCACAACTTGCTTTTAAGAGCGAAGTGGATGAGCCCTGAAAAATGAAAGCAGATCTGTTATACAAGCATGCGGAAGTACTTCATACATCTTTGTTAAAAAGCCATTCATATTTACTGTAATACTCTGTTATACTCTTATTAATCATATTGACGTAACCAAGTGTCCAGTATCAGCTATATTAGGGATAGATACGGTGCATCTTTAGTATCAATACAATTTAATCAACTTCATTTCAGGTACATTTACATCGTTTTCGTATAAATATTTACGAAATGGCAGTATATCAGAAACGTAATGTCACGACACAAACAAAATATTGTACGTATTAAGTTAAACTTAGCATTTGTTAAATCATGATTTTGGATTCAGTTGAATTAACGTTGACATCCCTCTTTCCTTAAAATCTATTACTTTTCCATTATCAAACATTGATATGATCTTCTAATCTTTCTCCATACAACTGACAATTTTTTTTTTTTTATTTTTGTTTCATACATTTTTTGGTATTGTAATAAACGAGCAATATTTTGAAAATGTTGCAAACTTTATCTCTATTAACAGAAACGTTTGAATAAATGATACAGCAAGCCCACTTACATAGACTACATGTTGAGTGTACACAGGGGGCATAGATACACGTACGTTCGGTGCGTAACAAATCTAAACTAACTTCTGTCATTATAAATTTCCCTGTCATTCTATATCAGTGTGTTTGATTAATGTACCTGCCACAGCTGATTGAAAGCCAGCATTGTAGTCACACGTGACCTCGTTTTTCACGAAGTCATTCCGCTTGTCTGCATAGGCTCCTGACTGGTCAGGTCCTCCTACTAGCGCCCCGTACAGAATCTGTGGGTTGGCAGCGTTGGATGCGAATTCGTTCCAGGAACATGATGCTGGAACATCTGGACACGAACTTAAGGAGAAAGCAGTTTATGTTTTAAATGTATTTTAACTTCAAGCAAAAGGCATTTCTGTAAAAGTAATGGAACTAGATTATTGTATCTTATAGTTTTCAAACCTACATTCTTTCTCATTTCTCCATTGATATTATTTCAGATTATAACGTATATCTTACACGATCTGGTAGGTGTTTTTGTTATGCTTACGAAGTTGATTTGTAGATGTATATTGATTGGTAAGTTACTTTGAGTTGTTACATTACTTACATGGAGTGACCAAGAAATACATGTCGGGTGTCGTCGATGAAGGAAAAGACGTTTTCCCTTCCGGAACAATTTTTCTATTACTTTTCAGGGAGACTCCGTGTAAATCATTCTTTACTTAGTATACTTTCGTAGTCTCATCAAACATGAGTTTCAATTAGGAGTCTGTTAGTTGTATTTTCTTAATTGTTTTAGCTACTTATAGGGATGGTGATCTTGCTTTATGCTTAAGATTGTAATACTTCCGAGTAGGTACATGTTAGTTTGCTTCTTTATGAATGAAGTTTGCATGATGAATCACGTGTGCATTTTGAGGTGTTTATGAATCGAAGTGGTAATGATACTTGAGGGGTGTTTACCTTGCTCTGTGATGAGGCTGAAGTGGATATTTGGTCCCAAAACCAACCACATAGCTGATGCCGTTCATGTTGTCTCCCAGGGCGTAGTTGATCTGACTTTCGGCGAAGTCCAGATAATTTTGCACGTCCCCGATACCAACATAAGCGGCTGCTGTTCCAATGAAAGCTGCGTTAGCTGAAACAGTACATAAAATATAACAATGATATAATCAGAAATACGACATGGAAGTCCTAAACATTCTCTCTGACACTGATATGTTTATAAAAAGAAATAAAGGATTATTACGAATGATAATTAATTATATTTTATTCACAGGGGCGTGATGACATAGCTTTATCCAACACAGTTATCTTTTTCACCATGGACTGATATATTGACCAATTGAACACTGTGATATTTTCGAACCCATTTTCAAAGAAAACAAATCTTTTTTTCGGAATTTGTATTTTGTGCACCTTGTAAGACTCCATAAGTAAACATTTTACGAAATGAAATCCTAAGTAACTTTTCGTAGAAAAATCGTCAGATGTCAACGTCACGTTTTGATAGTCACACAGCAATTCATGTAACAAAACAGACGGTGACTAATAGTCATTTCTCTTACAGTCACACATGCACGTAATAAACTTTTATGTCTTTGACAGTCACACAGTGAATAACGTTCGTGTCATTTATAGCAACACGGGCGATTGCTTACAAATATATATAATCTAGCAAGTAATATCGACGGTATGGTCCAATGTTGGTACTGAATCTTCTATATATATAATCTAGTGAGTATTATCGACGGTATGGTCCAAAATTGGGACTGGATCCTGACAAACAAATGTTCGTTGGATGCGTATTTCTGAAATAAATATTTGATCAATGAAGTAAGACAACAGTACGGACAAACAAATTGTCAAATTTTCGAGACAACCTGCCCGTTATATATATATTGCTTTCTTGTTATTCCTTCGTGTGTTAATGATGTTAGTTAGATATACATTTATAAAATGGGTTTTGAAGATGCCATGAATACAAGTATGTATTTTACATAGTTTCATATCGGACAAATTTACCGAGTTAAATTTTTCATACCTGCATATCTGAGAGAACCCCACTGTGCTCGCCATGCTAGTCCGTCTGGAGTCCGACTTACGCTACCACCGGGCAGGTACTGTTTGAGAAAGTTCTGGACCGGTAAAGCATACGTAGACTTCTCATTTTGAGGAACTGCGTCATACAACATTACCTACATACACAGGTGACAGTAAAATTGTTAGATGCAAGATCACTAACAAAAGATTTCAAATTAGTTTGAATGGCGGAATTGTGTGTCGTTTGTCGTTAACTATTTGAGAAAAAACCAAAAGTAGGTGGTTTTCGAGCGTGCAAGTCTGGCTTGTTTTCTATGGTCATTACTTTTAATATTTGGTTACGATATTGTGACGGAAAACAATCAATAGAATTGAAGATTATGATTTAGTCTTAGCAGAAATGGTAAAGCAGTCAGAAAATTCGCGTTTAGTACAAGCTTCAGGTGATACTTTATCCAAAATCTTTGTCACCTTGTTTTCAAGTTTCAGTGGTACTTTTATACTAATTGGTAATTAAGTACACGTTCTGAAATACGATGATTTGTTAAAAGACAAACACAAAATACAAAACAGAAAAATAATTCACAATTGTCTTGTTTGTACGCAGATTTAACATCAGATGAGTCAAACCTCTAGTAAAGGACGTACAGTGGCTAATTAAACAGTTGTTAGTAGAAACAAGTTTTTTTTTATGAATACCAGTACTTGAAGTCTGCAATCTAACTTATCGCAAGAAATATATTGCTGTAGAATAAAACCTTACTCTCTTATATCTGTGTTTTGTAATTTGAATTTTTCACTGACAACCCAATTACCTAATAAACAAAATGATTCGAAAAAATCTTATATTTAAGGAATGAAACAATTCTCCCTTTCTTATTCTAATCGGAAAAGGGACCTACCTGGCACGCAACCATCTTGTTGTCCCAGTCTTGGGCCCATGCAATGCCAAAGTCCACTGACTGCTTGGCAGCGGTCAGGTAAGAAATGTCACCTGTTGCCTTATACAACAGAGCGGCCGCATAGCATAGCTCGTCTTTATAACCGCTGTAGGAGCTTCGAAAACAAAGGGTGATATATATGGACGCCTAATAACTGTCTCTTACAGCAAAATCAAACCAATAGGAAATGTGATTCGTCTGAACTAATATGAAGCATTTATAAAATCTGTGAATGATTTCCTCCTATGATATCTAAACCTATGTTTATCAAGATTTGAAGACGACATTTACGTAATGCCAATCTACACACCAAAGAAAACGTAGCCAAACAACAACATCAGGTTTACTTATGTCTTGCCTCAGCCGTCCAGCCTCAGCCGCCCAGCCTCAGCCGTCCAGCCTCAGCCGCCCAGCCTCAGCCGCCAAGTCCACCGTTCTTTACTGTCTGGAAGCTTGAAAAACTATTACCTAGAGTTACAACTCGAACCCTTAGATTTAATATATCAGTGTCGTGAGTGTTTTCATGAATTACTAGGGATGATATATAAATATCTACAATACCTACTTATAAAATTGTGCAGCATCTGGTATGGCATCACTATACTTTCCTCTATGCTGATCGGCAAATGTGTACAAAGATTTGGCTGCATTCAGGAGAGTATTGGCGTAAGGCGTGTCTTCAACACAAATACATATTTACATATTAGGGATTTAACTAGGCGATAATCTGTTGATAGTCTATAAAAAAGAAAATATTGATATAAAATTATGGTATTCCGTATGAATCAATTGATGTTATGACTTAATGTAAACGCACTATGTTGATATCATATTATGTCCCTCGGATGTGATCCATGTTTTTTAGAAAAAAATGTTTTATATCATTTACATTACATACAGCATGAATGATTTATCATGCAGATGTTAAGCACACTGGTGATACACAGTGAATACTTCAAAAAATACAAAGTTCCATATGGCTACCTGTATTTTATGTTTCCGATATCATTGCAAATAACAAAAATGAAGCGAAATCCGTTTAAAGTGATGTAGGTCTCAAAAAAGATTTGAATACAATGTCCAGCTCTGCTGTATCTAACTCTAGATTTGTTGTGAAGTCAGTTTTTCTCTTTGTTATGTTGATGGAGATGTTGATAAAAGACCGACGGTCGACAGCCACAATTTCCTGCTTCTTGCTACAACAGAGCTAAGCTTCCACGATAGAATATAAAACAAAACGAATACACTGAAATGCAAAGACTCCTTTACCGACAGACTTGAAGGCAAGATAACCGGCTGTTAGAGCTGCAGCAGTATCAGCAGCAACGTCACTTCCGGGGCGGGTTGTGTTCACCATGTAGGCAGGTCTGGCCATGGTCATTTCCTCAGGTCTCCCCCAGTAGGCATGATCACTAACACCATTTCCTACCTAAGCATATCAATAACTGATATTATTTGTTTCTTTCCAGAAATTTATGCAATCCTGTAAATAATTATTTAACAGAATTTGTTGAACTTGAATTCCATTGGAAAATTATACACGGATACAAGAAGTTAACATAACAACATATTAAATAACACATGATGGCGTGAATTCTGACTTTTCATCTTGAATTTAAGATAAAGCATGAAAGATATATTAAAACCATATAACAGCCCTCTCGCAGATATGTACACTCGTCTCGATGCATATCCTTACGGCCGGCTGTTTACTGAATGGTACATGAAAGGTAAAATCCATTGTGTTATGATAGACCATAAGTCTTCATTCTTAAGAGATACACCATTGTTTGGTGTAAATTAATTGTCATCCAAGCAATGTTCATTCAATCAAATCTAAAATGATAAACATAATTTTGTTTGTAGATAGAACTTTGTGACAGACTTTTACCTGTGCATAATATGTTTTTGTGCTGGGTTTCCAACACTTCAGGAAGTAATCAAGAGGCCATTTTATAGAGTCTCGGATGTAGCTGAGCTGGCCTGCTGCAATGTATGCGTCTTCAAACATGGTGAGTCCCCATGCAAGGAGGGTGGTTGAAGCGGCCATTGGCAGGTTGAACTTAACTCCATCACCCGCTGAAGACGAGGAATATCTAATATGTTTAACCATTGTTGAAACTTTTATTAGAAAATACTTTTTTTCACAGTGTTGATCTAAATTTTGTCTTTGGTTGGAGTTCTTCATCAGAACTTTTATTAATGCTTGCAGTATAAACTAAACATACCATACAAATAGACAATTAAAATTTAAAAAAAAAGAGTTCATGTTTTTTTTTAACTTTATTTCAATTTACGTCCATATCTCTTTTTTACAAACTAATGTAAGTCGCGTTCTGGAAGCGTCATACATGCAAGGCGAATGTATCTTTATCCCAAGCAATTGCTTACGTTCGTTGCTTTGTTGCATTGCAGATCAATTAAACTGAAATCTTGTGAAAAGAATAAGGGCTTTAATGTCGTGAACTAGACTCTGGTCACCCTAGACATGTTATCTGTAGGCGCTTTTTCTCTCAGGCAAAAGGTTCATCAAGATAATTATTGTTCATGGTAACAGATATAGACTTGGAATTCCAGTTTCAGTTTGGCACCAGTTTCTTCAGTGAGCGAATCCAGATAAAAAATTCTGACCATACCAATAATGAGTCACAAATGAAAAGTCGTAGAGATACTGATGCTGAAGTGCTTGCCTGATCTCTAATCTGATTAGAAAGATGGCGTCACATCATCCAATAGAGTCATTTCATCAAACAACTTTTTTCACAGGATATTTACTAAACACTTATAGCAAACTAAAGTACGTTCAATATATTATCTGATTCTTACTTACCGTCATACCAACCTCCAGTTAGAGAACTTCCGTTAGGAGCAGCATCATTCAATGCACTGTCTCCGCGATAGGGTATTCGGTTATTAGCAGGGAGTTTCCCAGATCTTTGAGCCTCGTAGAACAGAATTGATAACCCCAAAACCTTTATATAGTCATACTTGGTACCTAAAACTTATGAAGAATGTGAATGAGATACTTTGGTTAGGAAAAAAAGAATAACCGGAAAATTATATCTGTTGTACAGAGGACGTACTGATATATGAAAAGGAACATCGGAAGAGAAAGCGGACATGTAGTTTACATCGTTACACCACATTATTTTTAATGACATCTGGAAGGCGAAGCGAAAAGACATTATAGTAGGAAAACTATAATGTAAAAACAGTTAAATAAAAATAACTTATTACCTCGCAAAGTATGGAGTTACAGAAATATGGAACAAAATGAGTGCAATGTAATATTCAAGCGTGCAATATAGTTGTAACCTATATGATATTTTATTACATATATCAATATAATCAGACAATTTACAGGTGCACGTGAAGATCATACAATGTACAATAAACTAACAATATCATCTTATCAATAGTGAACGGATATATCTCAAGGACATTAGAGGTATCATTTAGTTTGACTCTCCTAGTGTTAATATTTTTCCTTGTAGTAAACTAAAACAGACTATATCTCCCAGAAAGTAACACAAAAAGCACCGACAAGTGAATTTTGATAATAGATAAGAGTGGTATACTAGTAATGATACATCATCCTTAAAAGGGCCTTCACTTAAGGGCCAGGCAAGGAAATAACAAGGGAATAAGGAAATAATATTGTATACTGTGTACACCTTCATGTGACGATAAAAACATGGTTCAGTGGAAAAACCAACGGTATAAATAGATATTAGGAGACCTTGAAGCAGGAAGGGTGTTTTTTTCAGTCTGTAGAGAATCCATGTTTTGTTCTATAGATCTTAAATTCACTATCATATTACATTCTCGGGAACAGCGTAACACAGAACCCCCTAAATAATAACAATCCTCTACAGTGGATTAAACTTTTGTGAAATGTTTATGTATGGACACGTGCTGGAGATGTATGGTACGTCTGGACATGCTTGGTTTTATTGTTACCAATCTGTTATTGTTTACTAATCATAATCAAATAAAGAAATACGTGAGATATGATACCATAACTATTCAATTTGAGTCGTCGACTATGTTACCCACCAGAAGGATCTACTGTGGATGGTTTTGCGGACGACGTCGTTGCTGTAATTGGGGCCTGTGTCTGTTCGGTTGTTACAGGAGCTTGTGTCTGTTCGGTTGTAACAGGAGCCTGTGTCTGTTCGGTTGTAACAGGAGCTTGTGTCTGTTCGGTTGTTACAGGAGCTTGTGTCTGTTCGGTTGTTACAGGAGCTTGTGTCTGTTCGGTTGTAACAGGAGCTTGTGTCTGTTCGGTTGTGAATGGAGTTTGCGTTGTAGATATGTCACCACCCTTCTCATGCAACGTGCACATGCCGTTCGGAGTTGTCCCTTCATACTTTATCAAGAACTCAATTTTCAATGTCGGCGGGTGCTGTGGCCAGTGGTTTTTCAGCCTGTACCATCTTCCGTTGTTATCTTGGTCTTTCACTTCACCAACCCATATCTGTAAATTTATCACAGAAAAACACACTATATTCATGTGGAAGTGAATTCAGCACAGTGTCAATCTTCCCACGAAGGCATTGTATAATTAGTTACCATGCCCTCTGGAAGTCTAGAAACGAACTAACGAAACCTCGTCCCTTGTATTATTCATATTCATTATAACGTGTTATTCTGTAGATCAGATCATGAAAATGGCATCAACTGATGAATCGCTCCAATGACGTCTGTGCAGCAAATCTCTGTTTCAATGTCCATAACGTTACATAAAGTATAATAGTGTTGATGTGTTTTACATAGTACCATATTCACGTCATTACAACAGAGCATTTCAAATAGCCAATGTTATATAATTAATTCAATGATCTCACCTGGAGCCCAAAAGTTTCCTTACTAAAAGAGATCAGCAGTTCAAAATCGTTGAGAGTTTGGTCCAAAGTGAACAAACATACGCCTTTCATCTCTGAGGCCCAGACATGTTTGTTTTCAATAGTAATCGGTACAGAGCTAACTTGTACCATTTCTGTGGTAGTTGGTAGGGATTGGGCCGTTGACACAGGTTCTGTACTAGCTTTGTCCGTCGTTGGAATCTTTGTACCGGAAGTAACTGGTTGTGGTGTAGAAGTAGTCGTATAAACTACTGTAGTTGTAACTACTTCCGGCAAATTACTTCTACATTTTCCTCTTGGTTTAGGTCCTCTAAAATCAATCTGGAAACTCATTTTGATAACTTGTGCATGGTATTCATTTTTATTGCTGCAGGCGTACCACGATCTGTCAGCAGCAACATTATTTATTTTCATTATCCAGATCTGTAAGAGAGAGAACCAGTACACTTGTAACTTTAGCTTTGATGATAATATTTTTAGTTTCATGCTGGTATGAAAGAACAACCTTTTTGCAAACTGCATGAATGCGCGTAGCTTAAGTTTGTAAAAAAATTCTTACACACCAGGGTGAAACTAAAATATATTCCCATCAAAGCTTATAAATGAATTCTTACATAGGTTCCAAAACAATAAAAAAAAAACAATTGAAAAAAAAAGACACTAAAATCGAACAAACCCGCCGCAAGGTGGCTTGTTGCCATTTACTCCTTCAATCATTATCAAGAAGGCGAAACTTGATCTTTTTCGATCGAGAAATGAAAAACAAAAATCGGCGAATCAGAAAGCGGAATTTTGCGTACAAACAAAAAAACATTAATTATTACGTTATGAATAACAAACAGCTTTAAAAGTAAGTAAGAAAACAGTCAACATATCATTTACTTCCATAATTTATTTCTACAGAAACAATAATGATAAAAATACAATTATTCATTTGAAATCAACACTGTCCATGATAAAAAATGAAAATAAAGGAAGAATTTATGTCCTGAGCTTGAAAATGTTTTTGTTCCTACCTACCTTCAGCTTTTCCGTCGGTTTGTTGAGTGTAATGTTGACCTCCCACGTACCGATTTTGTACTGTTCCCCCAGGCTAAAACTACAACTACACTGCATCCTCTTCAGGGTATTGTCTACCTTTTTGTTCGGTTTCCATACAGACTCTTTGTCTATCTGGACAATTTGTAATGCACTGTGTACAACCGTTATATAAACCAGTGCCAACACCAGATACTGCATTTTTAAAAAAAAAATTCTGATGCTGAAACACACACAAACAACAATTATTGTTACATATGCAACTTTTATGATATATTGTTAAATATTGTAAACCGACATCTCTGTTCACCAATATGTCTGAACCCCAAAGAATAGACAGGAAGACGTACTTACCCAGGTTACCGTCTTAACCACAAATGATGTAGAACATCTCGGTGGAATGAACACATTTTAGATTGAAGGAAAACAAGCGTCACATCGTGTATGTTAAATTCCGCTTGATTTGTCTGTGACAACATGTGCTCTCGGCATATTGGCCATGATAATGATGAAAGGCCGTATGGGATTACATACTGAATATGGGCAAGGTTACGATAACATATAAAGTGCTTAGCAAGGATAGTTTCTCCCATGTATTCGTCTTTTATAATAGATATAAAATATAGATAATTTAGGACCTATAAAGGTTTGTATATTTATATATAGAAGTATTGAAGGTAAGGAATAGTCTGACTCCGTAAAATTTGAGGAAAACACATTGTATAAAAATACACTGTATGAAAATACATCGTATAAAAATACATTGTTAAAAACATATCCACTACATGTAAATATTATGTCAGAATAAAACCTCACTTACAAAACAACTGGAATATACAATGTAAGATTTTGAACTGAATGCTTATACTTGATTTACATGGACATACTTTTGGTAAGTGATTTTTAAAAACAAAACTTGTTCACTTATGTAAGTCAGGTTTCAACCAGGACAAGCCAGGTTTTTTAAAGTAAGAAACTGTATATTATATATGCTTTAAAAATATTTTGTCTACTCTGTGGAGTAATCATACTGAAGAGAAACTCTACCAGCGTTCCTTTTTTTAAAAGAACCCTAACAGCTATTTTATATTTTATCAAAAAAACTAAGTACTAAGTATAAAACGAAAAACAACAATATTTACGGTGGCTGATTTTAGCCGTTTCGTTATTTCGTGTTTTCGCCACAAAAAGACGAAAATTAACAAACCTTGGTTCTCGTCTTTTGAATTTAGATTTTAATTCTCATTTTTCTTTGCTGTGAAAGCTGGAATCGCACATGGCACAAATCAGTCAGCGTAGGTAGATTGTATTACCTTAAAGTCATAACAACTTCATCCTCGGTTTAACCTCACAGTGTTGTTCATTTATCATTAATTTTCATTTATTTTGTCTTGATGTATACATTTTATTTACATATAAGTGTTGTTGTGTAAAATAATGTTTTGTTGTACATTACATGTATGTGTGTGTTCAGTTTACAGTGCCATATTTTAAACTATATGAAATATTTAAATAACAATTTATGCAACTCTGTCCAAATGGAAGAATTAATACATTTGTTTTATCATCATTATTTTAACAACAAATGTTTGAATCCTTGCATTGTGCAACATAACTAACCCTTATTCTACAGGACGATGCCTTTATCATTCAGATGGAGTATATACAATGCAGCAGAACGAGTATATACAATGTAGCAGAATGAGTATATACAATGTAGCAGAGTGAGTATATACAATGTACAGAATGAGTATATCAATGTAGAAGTATGAGTATATACAATGTACAGAATGAGTATATACAATGTAGCAGAGTGAGTATAGACAATGTACAGAATGAGTATATACAATGTAGCAGAGTGAGTATATACAATGTACAGAATGAGTATATACGATGTACAGAATGAGTATATACAATGTAGCAGAATGAGTATATACAATGTACAGAATGAGTATATACAATGTAGCAGAGTGAGTATAGACAATGTACAGAATGAGTATATACAATGTAGCAGAGTGAGTATATACAATGTACAGAATGAGTATATACAATGTAGCAGAGTGAGTATAGACAATGTACAGAATGAGTATATACAATGTAGCAGAATGAGTATATACAATGTACAGAATGAGTTTATACAATGCAGCAGAATGAGTATATACAATGTACAGAGTGAGTATATACGATGTACAGAATGAGTATATACAATGTAGCAGAGTGAGTATAGACAATGTACAGAATGAGTATATACAATGTAGCAGAATGAGTATATACAATGTACAGAATGAGTTTATACAATGCAGCAGAATGAGTATATACAATGTACAGAGTGAGTATATACGATGTACAGAATGAGTATATACAATGTAGCAGAATGAGTATATACAATGTACAGAATGAGTTTATACAATGCAGCAGAATGAGTATATACAATGTACAGAGTGAGTTTATACGATGTACAGAATGAGTATATACAATGTAGCAGAGTGAGTATAGACAATGTACAGAATGAGTATATACAATGTAGCAGAATGAGTATATACAATGTACAGAATGAGTTTATACAATGTAGCAGAATGAATATATACCAGGTACAGAATGAGTATATACAATGTACAGAATGAGTATATACAATGTAGCAGAATGAGTATATATAATGCAGCAGAATGAGTATAAGTATATACAATGTCACAGAATGAGTATCTACAATGTAGCAGTATCTACAATAGCATTTACTTCAGTTTATACACTTCTATATATATAAATCTGAAATTGCATATCGTCTTTCTGATCTGATCGTTACTAAACAGATAGTTGAATTTTAAAAACAAACAAAATCAACATGTTTATCTTAAAAAAGATTTGATGAAACGCGTTAAAAACCAATACAGTAAGAGCACATGCGTAAGAAATGGTTATTACACCAACAATATATCTATTGTGCCTGAAATGACGATCACCACGTTTGCTCTTGGCCTCTCCTGATCTCCCAGAGTTACTGCCCTTCGTTTCACTATGTCAGCCCAGCGATTAGCTTGACAGCCGAAGGGGGACGTGAATACATCTCACTAACAGCCACCCTTGATTACTGACCACCAAAAATCTATATGATTACTGATAACATGTTGACCAAGCCTGACCACTCTCTGATGACTACATATGGATCACCAATGACCAGATCTTTAACCACCATCATTGTCTTTGGTTTCTTAGAAAAAGCTTGAACTTATTATTAATAGATCTATCAATATGTTCACCTGTATGACAAGTTACAACAACTTCATTTACTCCATGCGCTGCTATGGATACCATTATCTGTATAATTGTAATAATGAATAAATCCTACAACATAGAAACATATACATACCAGATTGTCATTACATGTAATCAAATTTCATTAAAATGAAGGGATTGTCTTCAATTTTCAATAAGCGTTAATTTCAAACGTTTGTAGATTCTTAGAAAGTTGAAGTGAAGTATTAAGTGATCTTTTGATATTGTTTACCTGTATTACAAGTTACAACAACTTTATTTACTCCATGCACTGCTTCCGGTTTTGACTCTGTATACGTTTATTTTTAGAGAAAGGTCATTACTTTGGTATTACTTTGTAATGAGCCAAAACTTAATTTACCATCCATGTTTCAATTCCTACTTTGTAAAATGGCTTCTTGTTTCAATCTTTAATCGTAAGTGAGCGAAATAACTGAATTTGAATCTGAGTACGGACCACTTGTGGACCACCACCCATATATTGACCGCCACTACTGGATTTGATACACTGTGTAAATAATCATGACGTGTAGGACATAAGTACGGCATTGATCCTAAGTATGGGACGTTGTGTTTTACCCTTTACACACACGAAATACAGGTATTAAGTATCATGTAAAATATGTGAATTTTTAATTTCGATATGGGGTTTCCTGCGATCGGACCAGCTTCCTTCCATATTCAAATGACATTTACGCTAACATCCGGACTTAAAGTGTGACTGATATAAGTGTTTTTAGTATGGTTTTTTCTTCTCTCATCTACTTCATTAAAATAACTGAAACAAGCAAATACATATTTGCCATTCAAGCGTGCCCAAATGTTAGCAACCGGCGTTTAAAACATATAACATCATAAATACCGAAATCGAATATTTAACCGTACTGATAATGATGTACATGAAGATTTGAGGCTGGAGGTTACAATAAACTGGCTTACTCCCAATCATCAGCACGCACCTGTCGTTAAAGACAAATAATTCTCACTATAATGTCGAAACCCGGGAATATTTAATTATGTACTAGTACCGTTCATACCAACTAAGTAATTAATTGTTACAAACTCACGTGTACATGTATTACCTTCTTACGGGTATACGAGTATATACAATGTACAGAATGAGTTTATACAATGCAGCAGAATGAGTATATACAATGTACAGAGTGAGTATATACGATGTACAGAATGAGTATATACAATGTAGCAGAATGAGTATATACAATGTACAGAATGAGTTTATACAATGCAGCAGAATGAGTATATACAATGTACAGAGTGAGTTTATACAATGTAGCAGAATGAATATATACCAGGTACAGAATGAGTATATACAATGTACAGAATGAGTATATACAATGTAGCAGAATGAGTATATACAATGTACAGAATGAGTTTATACAATGCAGCAGAATGAGTATAAGTATATACAATGTCACAGAATGAGTATCTACAATGTAGCAGTATCTACAATAGCATTTACTTCAGTTTATACACTTCTATATATATAAATCTGAAATTGCATATCGTCTTTCTGATCTGATCGTTACTAAACAGATAGTTGAATTTTAAAAACAAACAAAATCAACATGTTTATCTTAAAAAAGATTTGATGAAACGCGTTAAAAACCAATACAGTAAGAGCACATGCGTAAGAAATGGTTATTACACCAACAATATATCTATTGTGCCTGAAATGACGATCACCACGTTTGCTCTTGGCCTCTCCTGATCTCCCAGAGTTACTGCCCTTCGTTTCACTATGTCAGCCCAGCGATTAGCTTGACAGCCGAAGGGGGACGTGAATACATCTCACTAACAGCCACCCTTGATTACTGACCACCAAAAATCTATATGATTACTGATAACATGTTGACCAAGCCTGACCACTCTCTGATGACTACATATGGATCACCAATGACCAGATCTTT